GGAAATAGTTTTGAAATAACGTTTATTTTTAGGAAACTTTTTTACACTATTGCCCAATACGGAGTATATCTTTTATATAATGTCAATTTAATTATGGAAAGGTTTTAATAGCTTTTAAAAATTTTACGCTTAGCTTTCAATCTTATGGTAATATATTACCTTTTATAGAGATAATTAATTTCACTTACGGCACATTATTACCTTTTAAAGAGGAAATAAATTTTTATTACTTTTTATGAAAATTTTGGTTATAAACTAAAATATACATTATTAAAATAAATATAAATAATGTTAATTTCTTACCTTTGATGTTAATTTTTTTGACGTGGTTAGGGGGATGAGTTGGGGTCAGAACTGGGTGGGGGTTTACCGGGGGAGCTAGAGGGGTTAGGAACTATCAATTTTACGAACGGAGCACCGTAGGTGTCCCAATTGGGTGAGTGGCTTCCGTAGCCACTCTTTTTGAGTGGCTTCCGTAACCACTCTTTTTGAGTGGCTCTAGAACCCAGCCGTTGATATAATTACGTTATATTAATATTCCATCCGTTTGGAAATGATTTTCTCATTTGACTTTTCGCAGTCTCCAATTTATACTTTGACCATTAATATCTACATTTATACATAGATATATTTTATGTAAATTTAATATTTCAAAACTACGTTTCATAAGGAAACTATTGATATTATATTTATATCGAAATACAATGTATTTTTTCCATACATCAAGGTCAAAGTTTACAAACTTTGACCAATAAAAATCATGGAAAGATCATTTCAGGAGGGAGGGAGTACCTTTTACGGAAATATATTATTTTTGGAAGAAATACATTATTATCTAGCCTTTTCGTCGAAATACTAATAAAAATACTAAAATAAAAATGGTAAGAATATAAATAATTAAACAAAGATGAGTTCATTTTATGTACCATACATTATTATTACGTTTTCATTGAAATAGTAATAAAAACAATAAAATAAAAATGTTTATAAATTTTTAATTTTTTTATTATATCACTTCCAATTTTGTAAAATTCGGGTACTAAACAGAAGTTTATATAAATAAATTATTTTATATTTTGCTTCCTTTTCGGAAACCGTTTACATATTTACGTTAAATTATTACCTTTTATGGAAATATATTATTTTCGGATGAAATAATTATTACCTTTTCGTCGAAATAGAAATGAAAACAGTAAAATAAAAATGTTAAGAATATAAACAATTACAGAAAAATGAGTGTGTTTGATATACCATACAATAATAACAATAATAAATGTGTATGATGCCATTAATTATGGTATACCGCAAAATAGACGTCATTACTAAAAAGTTTTTATTTTTTAAAGTACTAGGTTTGTTCTGATAAAATTATAAGTTATAAAAAAAGAGACGTCATTAATTATAGTGTGTCCCAAAATTATACTTATTATTATGAACGGGCTGACAAGGCTTATTGATACATTTCCCAAAAGAAGTCAAAGTATTTTTTAATAAAAAGTTTTCATTTCTTTAATAAAAAAATTTAGTTTAATTAATAAGCTAAATTTATTATACCTTATTTTTGTTGAAAGAATACAAAAATACATATGTATATCGTAATAATAATAAATGTAATAATAATAAGAATAATAAAAATAATAATAAACATGACAATAAGTGTAATAATAATGACAAACGTAGAAGATAATTATACCTTATTTTGGTTGGAAGAATATAAAAAATATATACGTGTGAGATAATATATCGTAAGTGTTGAATTTAGAAATGGTAATTTGTCTTCTATTTGCTCAATTAACAACGGTTACTTGCACATGCTTATATGGTAATAACAACAACAACAACAACAACAATAATAATAAATGTGAATGGTGCCATTAATTATAGTGTACCCCAAAATAGAGGCGTGAATATTTAAAAAGTTTCAATTCATTACAGGGCTAGGTTTGTTCCGAAAATTATAAATTATAACAAAAATTGACGCCATTAAATAGAAAAAAGGAACAAAAATTTTCATACTATAAATACGGTCATTTTCAATCACTTTCGTAATTAGCCTCTCTAATTCTTTTTATGTTTTTAAATAATATTCCTTTATTTTTATGTGGTATATAAAGCTCTCCATTTTATTATTAGTTCGACAAGAAAAATGGTAAAAAATCATTAAATATGAACGAAATTTGTGGCCAAAAATTTGATTTGACTTATTTATATTTTTAAAACTATACACATAAATTTAAGATTTGATTGCAGAAAGGATATTATTAGATAATTGGTGATGTGGTTGACATTGAAAATACCAACGAATGATGTTATCTTGGTTCCAGGTTTAAGTGCAAAAACTATGACATAGATTATCCTGAAGGAGTGTATATGTTAAATATTGTAATTCAATAATTTTTAATTACTTTGTTCCTGAAAATAATAAAATCTATATATTCTATTAGATATTAATTTGTATTTTTCAAAAATGATCTTAATCTAATAACGTAAATATGACCCGTGCAACGCACGGGTGTGGTACTAATAATAGTAATAATAATAGTGGTAGTAATAAGTAATGATAATAACAACAACAACAACAACAACAACAATCCATAATATATACCATCTCTATCCCAGTGTATTTGTCTAATTTAATTTTCTAATATTTAGAGTCAAACTGAATGAACTTAGAACCTTAATTAAATAAAAACTATCATGCATACTTGTAAAAACAGCCTTATTAAATTTATCTTGTAAAGAACGTAACTTTCAAAATTTTATTTAATTGTATTAATATGCAATACAAATTTAGAACGCTTGATAATTAAAGTTCATCCAAATTAACTCAAAAAATCAAACTGAGCGCCCAACGGATATACAAAGTAATTATTAGAAAACACATAAAGAATTTTGGCCGATGAGGGCAATCGTTTTTTTTTAATTTCTCATAAAAAGTACTCCGCAACCTCATCCATTTCTAAATAAATTATTTCACATTCTTCATATCGATTGTTTTAAACAATATTTTTTTAATCTCGGTAAAAATTTAAATTTACTTTGGCACGGTGGAATATTATTATAGGCTGCATTTAATTGCATATATTGGGATCGAATCTAAAATCTACAGAGTAATAATTCTTTTCCATCCCATAATATTTATGTAATTAAATATCAATGAAGGTAACCCTCCTCTTATTTCTTCGTTTATTTTATTAAACTAGCTAGCTAGCTACCTCATCTATACATTACTATTATTTTACTCCATTAAAGCTCCTATAAATACAAATGGATGAAGAATAACAACTTTAATTTTGTGTATTACTTCTTGAGTTACATCTCAATATATATAATATTCCAAAACCATTATTATTTGACTCCAAATTAAATCTTTGCATTATCGATCAACTCATCATACATCAATCACTATGATACTAGTTAAAGGAGATGACCAAACCTTTACCCACTATGGAGAGTTTTCTCAACCTGAGGTATTTTAAGATTTTTTTTTATTATTTGGTAAATTTAAATTCCTTGGTGCATAATTATTTTGTTGTTAAGGTGATCGATGAATACTAGGAGTATCTAAATGATTGTAGACATAACGTATGTCTACATTCATTCATTATATTTTTCAATGTATTGAGAAAGTCATACTAGAGAATGAATATAGAATGAAGGGAGAAAAACATAAATGTACTGAAATTTATCAGGTGAGAAATGAGCACACTATCTTTTAATTAAAAAGAATGTAGAGTTATACTCCCCCCATCTCGAAAAACATGGGAGTTTTGGTTTTGGAGAGGGACTTAAGGCAAGTGTATTTTGGTATTGAATTTCCAAAAATGTCCTTTGATGTGATGAGTAAAAGTATGATTTGATAGATAGATTATTAGTAAAAGGTATGATGTGATAGCTAAGGTATAAAAAGGTAAGGGGTAAAAGTGACTTTTTAATAAAAATGAGAAATATTTTTTGGGACGGATGAAAAAAGAAAGGAGAAAGGTTTTCTGGGACGGAAGGAGTATATTATTATTGTTGTGACATGAGACAGGTAATAGAGATCTTGTTATCTTTGATACACCATCCTCGTTTGGAATCCATAGCTTCTTCATACAATTCCCTATGGATGGGGATAATGTCTCTCTCGCGTGACTCGAGTTTTCTGGTCACAAGAGAAACTAGATGTGTCTATGTTGACCAAAAGGAATATGCAACTGTGGATCCTTCGTTAGTCGATGTAAGTCACTACTTCCCCCGTTCATCAAAACGTTTTCTATTTCGTTTTAAGGTTCAAAATCCCATCTTTCCTAATACGGAGTATGATTTTATTTACAATTTGCTTTAAAAATAAAAAGTAAAGTTTGTATATTTAAAAAGTACATCAAAAATTCCGTAAAATAAGTGATGACAAAAACACGAGTATTTTGTTTTATCAAATGATTAATGAAAGGGCACGTAAACAAAAGTTATCGAGCACTCTTGAATATAGTAAAGAGGAAATGTTTTGGTGAACGAAAGAAGTAATTAATTTCAGCTCTATGATTTTTGGTGTTTTGTTTTTAAGCTAATACTCCGTAAATGATTACTTAATTACAGGTAGTAGGCACTGATGGGCAAGGAACTTGTGTTGGCTTGGTCATTCGAAACCCTAGAAACGGAATGTAAACATCAAATTCACTTTTAATTATATACTTTCTCTGTTTCTTAAAATAGTTTTTCTTTTATTTTTTGGGTTTTCCTAAAACATTTCCATTTTTATAAAAAATGGCTAATAAATCTAAATTAAGTTGTTGCAATATTCTTCATTCAATTTGCATTGATATAATAAGTCATTTAAATAATTTATCTCTTTTTTTCTTCGATAATAAGAGTATAATTAGAAGATCAAAATATGAAATTAAATCTCATCCAAAACCAAACAAGAACTGTTTTAGGAAACAGAGGAAGTAATAATCTATCTCTAAGAACTCATTCTATATACATATATATAAATCTAGCTCAAACTTAATTAATCTTACTGTGCTTTAATTTATATTTGGACATGTATATATATAGGATCTCCGTTGCCCATATAGATTTTCCGAAGGTTGTTGAGATCGGTCTTACTCAGATGTTGTCGTGCCTTGTTGATCAAGATGATGAGAACGACGACGTTTTAGATGTACGTATGTAGTATTCATTCTTTGATGAGAAAAAAAACCAAAGCAGGAGTAGTAAAACATTGAAAATATATCAAAATAAGACTTTTAAATTTTTATTTCCGGAATAGGAGTTAAAATGCATTTACATTACCAAACATGGTTATGTGCATTACCAAAAAGTATACTAATGCGCACATATACATTGCCACATTACAACCACATTACCACAGTACGGAATCCTATTTCGGGAAATAAATACTTTTTCCTATGTTTTAGTCCTATTTAGAATGATTTCAATTCTTTGATTAACTTCCATCCATTAATTTTGAGAAATCTGCTCAACAAAAGGCAGGTAGTACATTTCCTAAATAGGACTAATTAAGTACGAGTATATTTTATTCTCTTTATGTTTCATAATTTACGTATGAGCTTCTATATGTGCCTTCATTGTTTCACACAACCGTTTTTTCTCTTCTTTTTATATTCCATTCGTCCTAAAAAGTCTTTCCTGTTTCATTTTTTGCGCATCCCATAAAACACTTATATCCCGCCTTGAATGCCAAAAAAACTTTCAAGGAAAGAATTACTCCAATCTAGTAATTAACGCACTATTCCATGTTCTTGTGCACAGTTCCTTTTTCTCCTCCAAACCTAGTCGTTTTTCCTCTTTTTTTGTAAACATTTATTTCCATATTAACGAGATAATCACTCATTAATAACTCCTATTTTTAAGAAAGAATTAATTACTACCGATTTCAATGACTCTACTAATATAATCATTATTAGTAGAATTATGCTATTGATTATGACATAAAATTTCAATGACTGTACAATTATGGTCATTGAAAAATATATTTTGAAAATGACTTGCAAATGAGTTGTTTGTACTGCCTTACTGTTTCTTCAATGAAGCAAATGCATTTTATTAGTAGTATGACTTGTTGTGTGTGTGGACACTATCGCACTCGTGCGTTGCACGGTTCATATTTACGTTACTAAATTAAGATCATTTTTGAATGATAGAAAATGATATCTAATACTTCATCCGCCCAATAAAACACTTCCTATTTGAAAAAAGGCATGCCTTTAAAATGAATCATTTTAGTGTTATATTCTAATTATGACACATTTCTCATACATATCTCATTCTACTCTATTATAAAGTAAGAGCAAAATTAGAAAATAATACTAAAATTACTCATTTTAAGGTGTGCTTTTAAAAAAAGAGCTTTATGGGACGGGGGTGTAGAATATAGTTTTACTCCTTTTAAATATTTTAAAAGTCAAAATTACACTCCTTTTAAATCTTTTAAAAGTCAAAATTAGAATAGTTTTGTAGGACGGATGGTGTATTATTATTCTTTCACATGTTACTTTTTTTTATTACACAGTACCAAAAATTATATTGTGTGAAATTAATTACTTTATTAATAATTAATTTTATATTTTATAACTTTGCTAAAAAATACATGAGAATACATTTTTTTAAAACCAAGTCAAGACTTTCATTTATTTTATACACGGTAATAACACAAAACTAACTTACCTTTATTATTATTATTATTATTATTATTATTATTATTATTATTATTATTATACGGTGCATATTATTACCATATTATTATTATTATTCTTTCAGATGTTACCTTTTTTATTATACACAGTACCAAATTTATAAGGTATGAAATTACCTTATTAATAATTAATAATTACATTTTCACATGTTACCCTTTTTATTACATAGTACCAAAAAATATAAGGTATGAAATTACCTTATTAATAATTAGTAATTAATTTTATAATTTATAATTTTGATAAAAAAATATAAGGTATGAGAATACATTTTTTTAAAACCAAGTCAACACTTTTATTTATTTTTTACATGGTAATAGCACAAAACTAACTTACATTTATTATTATTATTATTACGTTTATTATTATAATTAATATTAGCATACAGTACCATATTATTATTATTATTATTATTATTATTCTTTCACATGTTACTCTTTTTATTATACATGGTACCAAAACTTATAAGGCATGAAATTACCTTATTAACAATTAAAAAATAATTTTATAATTTATAATTTTGGTAAAAATGTATAAGGTATGAGAATACATTTTTTTAAAACTAAGTCAACACTTACATTTATTTTATACACGGTAATAGCACAAAACTAACTTACCTTTATTAATATTATTACGCTTATTATTATTATTATTATACGATATCATATTATTATTATTATTCTTTCATATGTTAGCTTTTTTATTATACACGGTATCAAAAATTATAAGGTATGAATGTACCTTATTAATAATTAATAATTAAAGTTTCACATGTTACCTTTTTTATTATACACGGTACTAATAATAATTATTACATTCATTATTTATTACTATTACACGGTACCATATTATTACTAAAGTTTCACATGTTACCTTCTCTATTATTATTATTATTATTATCATTATTATTATTATTATTATTATTATTATTATTACTCCGTATTATTATTAGTACATGGTACCATGACAATTAATAATATCTATAAAAAAAGAGTGAGAGAGTATATAATTATGAAATTGCGTTATACACGATACTTACATATTAACCTATTAAATTATACACGCAGGGTACAACATAGATCAAATATTAATTACCTTTTTGTGGTAACACGGTATTCATAATTATATCTTTTATAACAAGGTATTAATAATTTAAAGATATGGAATTACCTCACTATTTTTATAAAATAATTTATAGTTAATAATTTTAAATTTTACATGTTATTTTAAATTATTTCACACAGTACATTATAGATCATAAATATTAGTTACCTTTTTGGTTGTACTTATCATTTCAATATTTGTGTTTCAACTTAAATTTTTTATCACTACTGTATATTTAAAATGGGTATGAAGGAAAATCATGAATAAGAAAATCATTTTATTTAAAACATCCAGTAATTAAAAATGACAACACGGTACTTTATTATTAAATAATAATAATAATGGAAAGTTTAATTACCTTTTAATCTACTGTGTATAAGAAATCATTACCGTGTATTTAAGAGTCAAACCCCTTTCCCATTATAACACGGTATTACCTCACCATGTTTAGCAATTACCTATTCATAATTAGTATACCTTTTATAACACGGTATTAATAATTCTAAAGTATGGAATTAGCTTACTATTAAATAATACTAATAATAATAATGGAAAGTAATAATATTAAATGTTGAAGGGAGTAATAATAGCTTACTCGTAAATAACTTTTGTTAAATGTAGAATGAAAGCTCCCTTCAAACATTTATTTTTCCAGGCCATTTTTGTACTTCCGCGCGACAAACTTTTAAGTTTATAGAACAAGTCATGGAAAATAACCTTGTTTAAGTCCTATTTGTGTAAAATTCTCTTAATTAAATTAAACTATGCTCTTACTTATATTTGAAACTTTGAATATAGTTTTAATAAGAGGTGAAAAATGTTGTACCGTATATATATATATATATGTACATTATTATAATTAAGTTCTTAATTTTGCACGGGTATATATATATGTACATATGTAGGTGCATATAATCAATGGTTTCAATACCGCGCGACGTGAAGACAGTGACAACCAACTTTCTGGACTTTCTATTTTTATTTGCCTAAAGATAATTGAAGTTCTTTGTAAGAGCACTCGAAGATTCAACATTCAAACTTTACACATTCTCAACCGCAACACCATCTATGACCAAGACGGGAATGCCCGCGCCAAGTTTAGTGGTTTCCTGGTAATTAGTCCCTCTTATACATATTTCATCAGTTTTCATTGATTAGTTGAAAAAATATTTCCATTCATTAGTTGGAAATATATATTATATATGGATGGACATATTCCCCTAAATTGTATTAATGACTCTAGTGAGATGACACCTTACGGTGAGATGATATGCTTCAGTGAGATGATGTCAAACTCACCACACTACACTACAAAGCTCACCAATGGACAATGCAAAGCTCACCACTTTGAACACCAAAACTTACCTTTTTTTAAATTTTAAAAATTAAAAAATTAATAAAAAATAAAATAGAAACACCGGTCAACCAACAGTCATCGGCGGCTGCCGGAGGTGGAGTGGCGGAGGCGGCCGGCAGTGGAGCGGCGGCGGCGGTCATAGGTCACATCAACGGTCAAAATCTAGTCAGCACCCCTTCCTTTGATTTTATTTTTCAAAAAAAAATCAAAGTGTCGAAAAAATATGGTGAACTTTGTCTTATAGTTTGGTGAGCTTTGTAGTTGTCCTTGGTGAGCTTTGCAATGACCAGTGGTGAGCTTTGCGTTATCTGACCATAGCATGTCATCTGACTGGAGTCGATCCCATATATATATATATATATATATATATATATATATATATATATATATATATATATATATATATATATAAAGGATTTGTTTGGTACACAGAATTTAAATTATAAAATTGGAATTAGAGACAACAATTCCAATTTTGCTGTTTGGTAGCACAAGAATATGTGGATTTAGAATTGGTAGTACTAAAAATGTATTAAAATTTGAGAATTCAATTCCATCCAAATGAATTTATAGAATTTCAACTCCCAATTCAATTCCAATTTCATCAATTCTATATACCAAACAAACCCTAATGAAATGAAGCTTTTTTCATTGGATGTGTTGAACTAAAAGTTATAAAATGTTTCTTCTCTTATTGAATTTGTAGGTGGAAACTGGGACGGGGTCAATATTTCCAACAATGTTTCATGAGACAACAAAATGTCCAGATGCATTCATTAGGAATCCTGTTCGACTGAAAGTGGCTCTTAATTGCCCAGGTTGGGATGGTAATAGATTGCTCGAGACATATGACACTCGCTCTGACAAATTCTGCATTACACCTTGTGCTTGGTAATTATATTCATATAACCTTTAATCTCTATGTAAAACTTTAATTTGTATATAGTGCGCCAGTTTTGGAATAGCGTTTTCGATTAGCGTTAGCGTTTTGGATAAAATTTTAAGGTGCAGATTAACTCTGAAAATGCTAACGCTAAAAACAACCCGTAGATAGCTTTTTCAAAACGTTAATTCTATTTGCCGAGTGTCTTGTTTTTAGCGTTTTACTGAATTACTATAACAAGTTTGTTTTCCTCACATATGATTTACAGGGACAAAAGTTTTGTGGAATATTGTGAAGCATACCAAAAGAAGTCTGATCGAGAAATCTGCAACACCCTCTACACTGTTCCGGTCAATGAAAATCCATCCATTGCGGAGTTTGGAAGACGGTAAATAAATAACGATCATTTTTGAAATTTGCACTAAATAGGATTAAAACATAATGACTTTCCTAATGTAGGACTTAAACTTTTTTATTCTCTAAATAGAACTTAGTAATGACCTAGTGGAAGGAATAATGTCCAGTAATGATGGACATTTAGTTGAATAATGACTACTTGATAATGACCAAAGGTCCTACATTGGGAAATAAAAACATATGGTCCTATATTGGGAAAGTCATTATGTTTTAGTCCTATTTAGGTAAATTTCTCTTTTTTTAATTTTGAAGTACTCATTTCATTTAATTATATATATACTCTTCTTTGCTTCATTATGTTTATCTAGTAGCATTTTTCATCAAATTAAAAAGGAAAGTATTAAAAATATAATTATTCTTTCCTCTCAGAGAATATGCCTATTTTATCAAACACCCCGATTGGAAAGAGATATTTCCCGGGGGGCAACCTCGTATATTTGTAAGAACCGTAGACGGAGCATGGAGAAGAGCCAATAAACACTCTCAAATGTCTAAGAGAACTGCTGATGATGAGGTTTCTATGAAAAGTATTATGCATAAAATATTATCCAATATGTAATTTATAAAGTTCGATCTGTTTCGACCATATATACCGCTTTTGAGAAAGATGTTGTTAAGGAGAACCATTAGTTCATATAGTATTATCCTTAACTAATGTCAATTATCCTAAGTTGGTAGATGTGATGTTATGAAGCTTGCTTGTGTTTATTATTATAGTTATTCTGATCAAATCTGTTGTAATTGTCTCGAGAACGAGTATCTCAACCTCTTGTAATTATGTATTCCTAACCTATGAATAAGATCATATGCTCAATTAAAAAAAACCAAGCAAACACATTACTATGATGATAATGTTGTATGTAGTTTAGAACAAGATAACAGACATAGGACTACAACATCTTCACGGTAACGCACATTTGCAAACAAAAATGAAAGCATTAAGTAACGCACAAAGAATTATTTACGTAGTTCAAAGAAATGTTCATATTCTGCGTTCGCGTAATATAATAGTCATTTACTGAAGGTTCGTAAAGATTAGATCAGTCAATTGCAATACGATGTCGCTTCTAGAGCAATAATGAAGAAAACTTATTATGCATGCAAGACTTCTCACTCAAATGCTATTGGAGCTTCTTTCCACAACTTGCTGTTATACTTTCTTGGAGATCTTCTACAAAGACTTGATCGCAACCCTATTTCACATCAGAAGTGTACACGACTTTTGAATAGATTTCATAACATAGCTAGACTGCTCACGGCACATATATGATTTATGTCAACTTTGGATCCCCTTGATTCCAAGGTAGCATCCTGCATCCAGCTTCAAGAACTTTACGTAAGGATAATATGTGTTAATGGATATTTTATGGTTATATTTGTAAATGGGCTTAGATCTTGTTATTGGGTTGTGTATAGTTTTTTTTTAAACAGGGTTGTGCATAGTTGACCTATGTAATTATCTATATATAGTGTTGTCAATCAATGAAAAAGGAAGAATTATTTTTCCAAAAATTTTATCTATGTGTGGCGTGAACTCTCAATCTTCGCAGAGAATGAATTCTCATTTTGATCGATGCTCATTATTTTCTATCGTGTGTTTTCTGTCTAATATGAGGGATGAGACTTTATATATATATATATATATATATATGTATGTATGTATGTATGTATGTATGTATGTATTGTTGGAAAAATCACCTCAATTTTCTAGCGGAAGCAATTAATAATTTTCCCGTCTTTGTGTTGTCAAAATGAGCAAAATCATATGACCGATCAAGAATAGCAAACACAACAAACAAATCAATCAAACAACAAACGAACACCAAGATTTAACGTGGAAACCCAAATCGGGGAAAAACCACGAAGTCTTCCACTAATCACCAAGAGAATCAGTGGGTACAACCAAGAATCCTCTCTAAATCAATTAGAGGTATACACAATCATCAAGTAACAACTTGGAACACCAAGCAACAATAATCTTCACTCAAAAGTGAGAAAACCACATAGAAACGCAGCAGCAAATAGAGATAATTTTACCGACATCGAGAGGTCAAAACAACAATCCCAGAGTTGGATATGAAGAAGAGGATGTCAGGAACAACATACTAAAATTTCATCCCGATCGGAGCTCGTTTGGTCATCGATCGGAGCACAAAACCAGTCTGCACCTCTCTTTTTCTTCCTTCTCTCGGTTTCACCCCATTTCTTCTCTCTGTTTTCTCTGCTGTGCGGCTGCCCTTTCTGCCCGTGAGAAGCCAAAACAAAGAAAGACAATTTCCTTTCAAAAAAATGGTAGCCCAATAATAGGTAAGTGTAGCCCCCACCAGGCCACCACCACATTTCTTTTTCTTTTTTCTTTATAATAATAATAATAAATATTATTATTATTATTATTATTATTATTATTATAACGACCTCTAAACTAATTATATTTTTAACACTAAATGTATAGTTTAGGAACTCCTTCCTCTATGTAGGAGGGATACCCCAACACACACACACACACACACATAGGGGCCGGTTCACGTGAGAATATACCTTGGTGAAAGAAATAAGAATAAAATTTAGTTTTTGGATCTGATGCATCGTGCGGATCAGATTGCACCCTGCGCTCAGATTTTGAGATAGTGCATTTTCAAAGAATTTTGGTGCATTTCGACATGACGCATTTTCAAACCATTTTGGTGCACCTAATTTTTTTGTTGCTTCTTTTTCTTTTCTTATTTTTATTTCTTAATTGTTTTAGTTTAATTATTTAAATTAAATTAAGTGTTAAAAAAATATTAATGAACAATACATTTTTCTTCTAAAAAAATATTGTTGTATGCACTATTATTGTATTTCTTAGTCTCTTACCATTGTAATTCTTATTTAAGTTTTATATTTTAATGAAAGATTCTATTATTACAATCTTTTAAAAGATGTTCAATTATTGTATAATTTTAATATTTTTAGTTTATTTATTTGAATTAAAATAAGTGTCAAAAAATAAAAGTAAAAAGTGAAGGGGAAAAGATGAAGGCATTTCCTTACAAGGGAAATAGAAAGAAAAGTAAAAGCTGACATTGCGCTCAGTTAGAAGAAGGGGAGGACATGCACACCCCATAGCCTAACCTCAATACGGTCCTTAGTTAGATCGTCTCATGTCTAATGCACATAAAAAACTATTACAAAAAACAGAAGTCCCACAATGCCATTATCGAAATTAGACTCTCCTTCAACCAGTTTAACTATCCAAGATAGACTTAGAGCACTGGTAATGGGCATCACGCCCACCGGCGTGATCGCCGGTTTTAACGCTGGGGGCATTAAACACCGCCCCCCATCGGCTTCATCCGGGCGTCATTTGTTCGGCGTCATTGGTTTGACGCATCTCCCCCTCCCCCTAACGGCTAATTTAGCCGTTGAAACCCAAAAAAAATTAATTATTTTTTTATATAAATTTCAAACTCCTCCACTCCCATTCTCACACCTTCAATCTTCTTCACACATTTTTCAATTTCAAACTCCCCCCCTCTCTTTTGAACATGAATCCTTCCGGCTCCGGCTTCTTTCCCGACAATCTCGAGCCTCACGAGTCCGAGATGTGGTATTTCCAAGAATACGGAAATCATCCGCCGATGTTCGAGACGCAACAATCGGTGTACGTCGAGCGAGATTCAGTTCCGGAGACTCAACCGGAACCATCCGGCTCCAAAAAAAAGTACACGCCAGAAAAGCCACAAAGCAAAAGGCACGATGACCGAGGCGGCACGGTCAATCCAAAAGTGGACGCCGGAGAAAGAGTGCTTATTGGCGTCGGCTTGGGTTGACGTCTCCGAGCATCCTATCGTTGGTAAAAATTATATGTTTTCTAATATATTTATGTTTTTATTTATATAAAATTATATTTAATCTTGTCGTAAAAAAAAATTTCGTGTTATACTTTTTTAAACGTTCAGAGCAAACGAAGGATGCGATGTGGGATCGTATCTAGGAGAAGTTCTTCACGGCGATGAACACGGACGGCTCCTACCTTACCCAGGACCAACTCACTTCCAAATGGAGCCACATCAACCGTAAAGTCCGAAAGTTTATCGAAGTTTACGAGGAATGCGCCCGGTCCCGGAGGAGCGGGACGAACGACGCCGATGTTCTCCGGCTTGCCACGACCCGGTATCAAGATGACGGGCACCAAGGCAAGATGCCCATCGATCTTTGGAGGATTTTGAGCCGTTCCCCGAAGTGGCAACAACTCAACAATCCCGACGGCGGATCGTCGAAAAAAAGATCCTCCGTCGACGCCGAGGTTGAGGTCGACGACACTATTGGTTCGTCCGAACAAATGTCTCCCTTCAACGTTGCAAAGAGAGATCAAGACGAAATATAATTTACCTTAGTTTTTTTATTAATGTATCTTTTTTATTATTTTCGTTTTTTTAAGTTTAATGAATGTAATTTTTTAAATTTTAAATTATCGTCGTTTCATTTTCTTTAAATTTAATGAATGTATTTTTTTTATTATTCGTGTTTCAATATAATTAAATAATAAATTAATTACAATTTTTTAATTTAGTTGTAGAAGATGTATATTTAAAAATGTAAAAAATGAAGGTTTGAAGCCCCAGTTTGAAGACCCGGGGCTTCAACACCATTTCCAGTTAATCTGTGAGGTAAGTTAAAGTTGGCGTGGTAGAGAGAGAAATTTTAAAGCCCCAGTTTGAAGCCCCAGGTAGGAGTGTATACGAATCGAATCGAAGCAAATATATCACTATTTAATTCGTATTCGATTAAAGTGATATGTATTCGAATTCGGATTCGTATATAATTCGAATTTTAAAAAACATTCGTATTTGATTCGATGGATATGTGACGTATTTGAATTCGTATTCGAATATTCGAATTCGAAAATATTAGTAATTTTTTCTTAAAACAAATTTCTTAAAGACATTAAATTATTATTTTATAATGTAAAATGTAGTAAAAATATGTTAGAATATAAATAAATTTATTTATAAATTATAATATTCGAATATATATAAATTTATATGTACACAAAAATTTAATATATTAAAATATGTTAAAATATGTACACAAATATTTCATATATTAGAATATATATAAATTTATTTATAAATTATAATATTCGAATAATTTGAATAATAAACGAATCGAATCTATTAATATTTGTATTCGAATTCGAAAATAATTCGAATCTAAAATATGATTTGTATTCGAATTCGAATATGGCCTTATGTCTCCGCACTCCCGTCTGTCTAATTGCCCCTCTCCCCCTCTCCGAGCCAAATTGGCAAAACCATTACAAACAGAATACATTTTTTTTTTGAGGATGAATACGTAGAAATTAAACATAAAGAAATAAAATAATTCTCTGTTCTGCAACCAGAAGCTCTCTCTTTGTCTCTCTCATGGCGGTATCTGCTTTCTCCCTATATCTCTTTTTCTCTGTTATATATGTGTGTTGTTTCCGTTTTTCATTTGATTCGATCCAGCTCCGCGTCCACCAGCATGATATTTGATTTTAATCTCGATTTTTTTTTTAGATTTCTACAATCACTTTCGTTCGCTCTTTCATGATTCCTTTCACCAGCTTTCCAGTTTTACTTCTCTTTTTTAAAATGCAAAGGAAAAGCTAATCGCAGGTCACGTTCGCCCAAATCATTTGAATCAGTTTCGAAATTGTGATAATCTTTATAGATTCCGTCCCAATGTTTCTTAAATCTTGTGTGCATTCATTTTGTGATTAGGATTTCACTTCATAATAATGAAACTGGAAATTTGATTTTCACAAATTCTCGAGTTTTCTTAGTGTTTGGACTAAGCCTCTTAATGGTTCAGATATCTGAATGGTTCAGCACTTAATGTTTCAGACTGTTTGTTTCAGCCTCTTAATGGTTCAGATGTCTGAATGGTTAAGAGATTTGCCTCTGAATGGTTAAGTATTATAATGGTTAAGACCTCTTATCTGAATTGATCAGACATTTGCCTCTGAATAGTTAAGCAATATACTAGCTCTTAATGGTTCAGACCTATTACTGGTTCAGCACTTAATGATTGAGACCTCTTACTGGTTCAGCACTTACCGATTCAGAAGTTGCCAAACAGCCCCTGAATCTAGTAATGAATACATTTTGAGCTTTTTTATAGATTTGTTTTTAAAAATAGAATCCCTTTTCTAAATTTTAAATTGTGAATTTATGAATTTGCTCTGGAAGTGCAGATTTGGACCGAATCCTGTAACGAATATAGACATTGAATCCGGTAAATGTTGTACTAAGGGATGAATTTGAATTAGGGTGTATTTGTAATGATTTCTCAGTTCTATTCAGCTGTCATTTTAAACATTTCTCTGTTTGTTCGTACATATCAATAATGTTTGTTTCTCTTGTGTGTTGAGCTTTGTTTGGATTGAGCTCTCATTTGTTATTTGCCCAAAAGTTTGTATGCATATACAATTGTGGTCATCTTTATTCTGTATGGTGGCTACTGTATAGTATTTGCTTCTTCTTCTCCATTACAGAAGTAAGATCTGGCAGCTGCAAGTTTTAACTTTTAGTTTGAAGTCAATATTAAGAGGTATAATCATAAAAATGATATGTGGGTGTAGGAAAAAGGGCGAGCATTGCCAAAGTTTGGGGAGTGGGATGTGAACGATCCAGCATCCGCCGAGGGGTTCACCGTGATTTTCGGCAAAGCTAGAAATGAGAAAAGGTCACAGGGTCCCAAGCCTGCAGAGTGTCCATCAAAGAGAGATTCTGCTCATAATAAACGCGAAGAAGCTACCCTTGGAAAGCCTCAATCAGTGAGTTGTTTCCTATAGTTTGCTTGCCCCTTTTGTATATACATTTGTTTGTTTCAAGCTATATGATCCAATTGGAGGTGGAGTGGGGGTAAATTTGCCAAGATTGGTTTAATGTCTCGATTCTTTTGAAATTGTGGCTGGTTTCCTGAAATATAGGATCGACACTTCCTCTTTGTCAATGACCAGCTCAATCAAAAGATAACACTTGTGGTTGTAGGTTCGTGAAAGGTTTTATACTATAACATGTCGCCTCACGTGCATGCGAGATTTGTTTTTACTCGAACCTTGCATGTGAACTCGTGACCTCTAGGATCTAGGTTAGCAAGACTATCTTTTCATGTCTCAATAAATCAACTCATTCAAAAGCTCAAGCTTGTGGTTATAGACCCAGGAAAATTTTTATACTATTAACACTTGTGTGTCCTATAAAGGGTTCTCCCTTCCCTTTTGGGTGGAGAATTGTGTGTTCTCTTTGCATAAATCTAAATGATGCAATTTCACGCTTTTTAATAACTGAACAATTGTGGAGCCTTATTTCGGAACAAAGGGTCATGAAATGAATGTACATGTCTGCAAAGATAGCACTTTATCTTCTTATATCAATTCCCTTGAATGAGTATAAATATACAATTGAGTGTTTGAGCAATCCAAGTTTTTGATGGATTAAATTCAAACATATTAATTATTGTAGTAATAATATTGTGTAGAAGAAATGGTTTTGCTGCATGCATTCTTCTCCTGCCGAATGAGATGAAGATCGGACGCACTCTCCTCCTCCACAAGACAACGGATCGGAGCTCTAACTAAGCAGTGATGAGTTTTTCATTGCTGCATTTTTGTTTTCATTTTGCTGAGAGAGATGTGAGTGTATGAGTGCAAGTTTGTGTTGCTCCATCTGCTTTTTTCTGTGATTACATTGAGGTCATGCCATGGTAATCTCTATGCTTTTCCATAATGGATACTATACTAGTACCTCCCTTCCAAAATATTTGTCCAGTTTGACAAATTAGACAAGCTTTAATCATCATTTAATTAAAAATGGTACAGTATATTAATACACAAACAACTTCATTAATTTATTGTGCAAATAACTTTCACAAAACTACACTACAATTTTTATTTAATAGATGATTAAAGTTTGTTTAATTTGATTGAAAAAAATTAAATTCCGCGAATACTCTGAGATGGAAGAAATATTTACCTGCCATAGTTGATATTTACCAGAGTATCACACTAGTGACCTATCCCCATAACCATCCTAGGTGTACCCCGAATATTGTACTCAAAAATTAAACCAAAAGTTTATACTTACATTTTGATAGCTTACATTGACACAAAATATCAATGCGATCACAAAATTTTGCTATGAATTTTGTGTCATTTAGGTCATTTATTTCACACTTACATCGATACAAAATGTAAGTGTAAATCTTTGAGGTGTTTTGGGTACAAGTATATTTAGTTGAAAAGGTTAAATAGAAACGTAGACGAAAAGGTAGAAACTTTAACTTTTGATATCATCCCTGCCACACATGGCTTAAATGAAATTCTAACCAATAGCAACTAATAAATTAAAGAATTAAAATGTCTTAAACACCCATGTGTGTGTGTTTAATTTTTACTCTATCTAAGGGTGGTTTATTTAAGGTGGTTTATTTCGGTTGGAATTCTAAAGTTTGATATTGGAAAATTAAAAAAATGGAAGAAACTGAAAGGCTCCATCCTCATAGAGTTTGTTCTCTTCAAGTTATATTTATTACTTATTTTTAGTAAAATCAGATCAGATAAAAAAACACTTAAGATATAACTACAATTAGATATCCATATCAGATCATATCGGAACTTACTCTCAAGGTGGTGATAGTCACACTCCATCCAAACACTAACTTCACTCCATTAGTTTCAAAATTATTTTTATTTATTCAAAAAAAATATTTTTAACTCATGAACTCATGTACAACATTTTGCAATTTTAAGATTTTGATAAAAGTTCTAGTTTGAATCATAACATAATAATAGTTTAATAATAATTTTTTTTATTCTACTAAATATAGAGAATATTTTAATTATTAAATATGATATCTATTTAAAATAAAAGTTATAGTTTTAATAATAATTCACATTTATTAACATTAATATAGATTTTTTCTCTTGAAAATAAATAAAAGAGAATAATGGTGAATAATTTTAAAGATTATACTCCATATAATATTTTTATGTAAAATTTAAATAACTATCATCACCCTTATTCTAATCAGATCAAAACTAATTAGATCAAGTGAAGAGAACAAAGTCTAAGACCATGGGCGGATCTACATAATGGAATATGGGGGCACTTGCTCTCAATCAACTTTTTATTTTTAATATATAGTGTTAGAATAATTTTTTTGTGGAAAATTAAAAGAGCACCCTCGGTAAAAAAATGTTTGTCCTCAATGCCAAAAGAAAATCCTAGTTTAAAAGTAAAAAAATAATCACTTAAATAAGATATACAAGTAACAACAACAATAACCCAGTAGAATCCCACAAATGCAGGGTCTGAGAAGGGTGTGTATACGCTGACTTTATCCCTACTAAAAGTAAGAGGTTGTTTCCAAGAGCTCCCCAACTCAAGCTGCTCAAAAATCAAGTAGCACGACAAGAGAACAGAGTACACTAAGGGTGAGAAAAAATGATATGCCATAAGGTATATTTCAAATTATTTGAAATATCATAATTATATAAGGTTATGATGTATTTTATAATGTATTTTTCTAATTTAAAAATATTTTTTTTCTTATTTGAGTACTTGTTTAGAATTATATTAATTTATTTTTCATCATTATAAACTGCTTTAAAGAATATTTAGGGGCGCTACCTTGAACCTTCGCCCGTCTCTGATCATATTCTTTTCTAGATCAGCAATTAACTAAAACTATTTTCATTTCAATCTATTTGCATTTCCGTTTTTAAAAAAAAGTAGAGGGCCACGTGCCAAACCATAACCAGAGTAAAAAAAACCATGGCAACTGAAGAAAAAAAACTTTTCTTGGTCAAAATTTATAAATTTTGAATTCAATTTGTGTAAAAAAACACATTGTATTATGATATAAATTTGGTATCAATATAATCCTAGTGAAATGCAGTTTTTCGAATATCAAATTTTTAGAAAATATATTTGATATTTGGTTACACCCTAAGAGAGGGCGAATTAGGTTATTTAAAAGTTTTTCGCAAAACAAGAAATAAAGGGCGGAAAAAGAGCAAGAAAAATAACAAGATTTACTTTCATTTTTCTCACCGAAAATAAAATAAATTCAAACATGATTTGTACTCCATATTTAGTAATTGGAGAGATATCACAATAATTTCTATATTACGAGTAAAAATATATCAAATTCTCTAAAAGTCAAGAGGTGACATAAAGTTAGAAGAGAAATTGACTAAAATCTTTTAATATAATATTTGAGAGTTGATTAAATTAGATGATGACATGTGTACTTAATGAGAGTTTATTTTATTGACAAATTAGCATCCACGTGTCATTTTCCGTGCGTTTTCCAATCGGAAGAAAAAAGGAAATTCCCAATCTCCAGCGGAACCTTCTTCTTCGTCCCTTCACTAAATTTTCACTTTGTGAGCGAAATATGGGAAGCTTGAATACAAGGTAATTTCATTATATTCTCAAGTCTTTCTAAAATTCAAATAGTGTCTCCTTCATTCGAGTCATTGAACTGCTTAATTGGTAAGCTTTAATTGATTTGCTTTTTGCGGATTCTTAGGGTTTATATTGGGTGTTTCTTGCTCAATCGAAAAAACACACTGGCAGATTTGGAAGCTATTTGTTTTAAGTTGTTTTGTTTCTATGCCGAAATGCATTCTAAGCCTTGCCAAATTTGTGTTTTCTCCAAATTTTAATGCAATTTCCCCCCTAAATTAACATGGAATTCCATGTTAGGAATTGGTTTGTTTTCTGGGAAAATGCCAGGGGTACACCAAAAGTGTACCCCAAATATCCCTCACCCCCTCCATTACCACAAAAAAAGACAAGTAACATTCACAAAAGAAATACTACGGTAAAAAATAAAAAGAAAATAAAGTGAATGGTGTAGAGGCAAGTGGTGTACATTTGGGGTACACCTTTGGTGTACCTCTAGCATCTCCCTTCCTAAATTCATATGCAATTTTAGAAAAAATCATTTGAAATTGCATTTTTTCCTAAATTCATATGATTCTTTTTTATCTTAATTATTATTGAAATTGCTTTTTTCCAAAATTCATATGAACTTTTTTTTACCTAAATTAGTATGCAATTCTAGAATCTATACTCCTTCGGGGTTGGGACAATGTCTAGAGTGGAGGCTACTAAAGTTGTTGTTCAACAACTGGATGTATATGTCAGTTTCTTTCACAAAATAGTAATCATTTTAGTGTACATAACACTAAATGTTGGCGATTTTCTTTATGAGCATTTTGTTAGAAATGAGAATTGGTTTTCTTATTTAAGTTTTGATGAGTAATTTACTTGGTATAAAAAGATTTTAGACATATTTGTCTCTTGAACTAGAGGAATGCTTTGTTTCTATGAGATTGGACTTTTGAGCAATAGGTGGTGTCATGGGTCAGAGGTTTATAGGGGCAATTTGTGGTGTCATATTCACACTCTCACTGAAAATTGGCATTGTTTTTTAGTTTGAACATGACAAAGAAGACTAGAGATTGATGTCATGGTTCTTGCTGATAGAGGTGTTGTTTGTATTGACGAGTTTGATGAGATGAATGACCAAGGTTGCCTGCCTATACATGAGGTTATGGAGCAGCAGACTTTAACAGCTGCTAAAGCTGGAATGCATGCATCATTGAATGCTCGGTGGAGCAAACACTATTCGGGAAACTTTACTTCATGTCATAGGTACAATATTGAACTCAATCTATGCTTGGAATATATTTATAAATTGTATCCCTATACTATTTCACAAAAAAATATTCTTCTTCCTTAAATGACAATAAAATGAATTTCTCTCACTTCTGAATATGTGCTCAATAATTTTATCACAAATTCACATCATTAGGAGATTAAGCATCATGCACTATACTAATTTAATCACATAGTTTCGTTGTTTAGGTATGAGAGAAATTTTGTGTAAATTTCATACACAGTATATCCTGGCTTCATATGGAAAATTTCCCACCGCATTCCTTTTCACTTTATGCCTTTTTACTTTAAGCCTTTTGTGTAAATATTGAAAAACAACATGTAGCTTCTTTAGTTTCAATTTTGTTTTCTTCAAACAACCATGCTACACTTACACCAAAAAATGTATTCCAAAGTTACACCAAAGGTATACACTAACATTTTGAGGGTTCACACTGACACAAAATGCTGGTGCATTTTCAAAAATTAGCACTGACAAAATGCTAGTGTGTTTATATTTTGAGGGTTCACACTAACACAAAATACTGACACAAAATGCTGCTGATGAGTAGATTAATAGTGAATGCATGTGATGTGGTAGATATGTTATAAATTAGTAGAAAGTATAAGTTTTCCATTATAAGTTTCAAAGTTTTGTAATTCCATATATTAACCACTTAAATTTACATAAATACTTAATTTCATAGTAATTCTTATTTTGGATATCTCTTATTTTTCCGAACTGATTCTTAATTTAGTACGGAGTAGCATTTATATCGAATATTTTGGTCATGTGATTCATAGTGGATGCATAAAAATTCAACAGTAAGGGAATATATACCCAAATATGACTCTTGATACTAATTGAGGAATGTGATGAAAGTTATGAGTCTCTTTGCTTGAAGATATGCCTGGAAATCAGGATGATGCTCAAAAGGTTTATACGTGAAAATTTGCCAAGAATGCAGATATACCATTAATACGTGAATGCTACATC